AATTCTACCAACGTCAACTCATAGTTTCTTGCATCTTTCTCATCTAGCTCTGTTCATTGGTGATCAAGAAGGACGAATTGTATTAGATAGAGTAATGTGGCCCTGTGATATTGGTAAAAAGCTTAATTCTAATTTGTGTATGAATACTGTCGCAAAAAGTAGGATTTGGAGAGAAATATGCGTGAAACTTTATTATTCGACATTATCTTTTACCTACCTTACCTATTTTATACAATGAAAGCCAAGCTAATAGTGGCTCAATATGGCACCCACCACTTTTCTTTTTGTACTTGGAACAGGCAAACCGTACACCTCCTTCTAATCAAATAAAATGATACGATCATGTAGTCTGTTGCATTCTAATAGCAGCACAGTTAATTAAAGTTGTTCGTGCTAACTGCAATATTCTATTTCAGTATATCCCAAATATCAAACTGTCATGCTTACTCTGGTAGCTTCTAATTATTATAGCTTACCTCCCTATCCAAGATCGTGTTCTTATTTATGTTCCAATAATTTGATCATCTTGTTATTCAAGTAGTAAAAAGCTCAGGAAGTTGGCGTTGTTGACTTCATAGCAATTAGTTTATGCAGCTCAAAGCGAAGACATGGTTTTTCGTTCTGAAAGACTCCTTTATGGCCCATAGTAGAGTAATCAATTCTAAAAACTAGCATGTGCTTAAAATTGACAAAGATGTAATCAAAATTCTCGTTTAGGTCTTGACAGTAGCGGCAGTCACAAATAAAAATATCGAGATGGCTGCGCTCAATGCTCACAACTATTACAGGTCAGAGAACAAACCTGATATGATAACATGACTTTCATTGGGACAAACATCCAAGTGTTTATTGGAAGGTTTCGGTAAATGTCGAGCAAATTATACGTTATAATATGGTCATTGTCTTGTCATAGGCGCCAAATGCATTCAAGCGTCAACTTCATCTTTCAAAGTAGTCGAATGAGAAACTAATAAAGCACTAATAATAGCACAATTTCACATTTATAAGGCAGGCCATTGTAAAGTCTATAGTGGTGTTATTCTTAAGAAGTGG